ATTTATGTCCAAAATCACAAAATCAACAAGATATGAGAATGGCCTACTCCGACTATCAAGTCCTCTGCAATGCCCCTAGGATGCACAATGGATCTATCAGGCATCAGCAAGTTGAATGCTCATCCTAGTATCACTGGGTTCACCTAGGCCTAGCTTTTTAAATAGTTTATATGGCATGACATTTATTCTAGCGCCTAAATCCACCAAGGACTTCCCTATATGCAAACTACCAATCATGCAAGGGATAGTAAAACTCCCTAGGTCTTTTTGCTTCTCTTGTAGTTTGTTCTGCAGGATGGCAGAACACTCCTCGTTGAGCATCACCGTTGACAGCTCCCCAAGCTTCCTCTTGTTGGTGAGGAGATCCTTCATGAACTTGGCATACTTGGGCATCTTCGATAATGCCTCCACGAAGGGCATGCTTATGTTTACCTGCTTCAGCATTGCCATGAATTTGGCAAACTCAGTCTCCAGTCGGTCTTTGTGCAATCGAGTAGGAAAGGAAAGTTGTGCTACATACTCCTTCACCACTGGTTGCGGTTTAGGAGCAGGCACCTCAACCTCCTTCTCCATTTCCTCCCCATTAGCTGGAAGTGCTGAAGTAGGGGTCTCTCTCTCCTGTGCCCGCACAGGTGGATCAGCAGTCATCTTGCCACTCCTGGTAGTGATGGCCTTGCAGTGCTCATTTGGGTCATGCGGATGAGGGATGGTCTAACCAGGTAAAGTACCAGGAGTCCTCTGAGCTACAGCCTGGGCAACACTCTCAAGCTGGGTCTGGATATCCCGCAGCACAGCCTGTGTGTTTCTCTGACCAGCTTCTAGCTCCAAAAATTTACCTGCAGCTTTCTCCATGAACTGCTCGATGTTATTGAACTTGTTTGCACTGGAGGTGGTCAGAGAACCCACCAGATCTCGCAATTCCGCCATCGGGTCACTCTGTACTGGGGCTGCGGATTCTGCCCCTGTCTAATGAAATGGTCGCATCTGTGACTGAGGTGGAACTGGGCCCTGTCTGGGCGGGTAGAGAGGCTGTTGCGGCTGCTGAAATTGCCCTTGTCTGGGCTGGTAAGGAGGCCTCTAGAAGCCAGGTGGTCCCTGGGGGGCTGGTGGTCTAGAATTGGACCCATCCTAGGAGAAGTTAGGATGCTGGCGCCACCCCTCGTTGTAAGTGTTGTTGTAGGGGTCGAAGCGCCTGGCATTGCCGATGAAGTCCACCTGCTCCTGGGAAGTAGAAGACTCCATCATTGCCTGACAGTCCTCCACGGTGTGATGGGAGCTCTCACACTATTGGCAGTGCAATGCCTGCTGCTGTCCTGTACCTGCAATCATCCCAGAGCGATCGATGGCTGAAACCAACTTCGATACCACCTGCACCAAATCAGATGACTGGGTGGCTACAACATGCACACCCCGCCCTGGTGCTCGCCTCGATCTCCTAGCAGTTCCCCAGTCATAGCCCTGCTCTGCCATCTCTTCAAAAAGTTGATTCAGCTGTGGCCTGTGGCGGTGTTTTGGTGAGCATATTCCAGCAACAGACTGAGTCAATCAGCTGCTTATCTTCCGGGAAGAGGGCATGGTAAAAGGAGCCCACCTTGAAGGCGTCGGTAAAACCATGGTTGGGACACATGAGGAAAAGACTGGTGTATCTCTCCCGGATGGTCTCATCTTCATCCTGAACAAAGTGAGTAATCTGCTTCTGCAGGTCCGTCGTCTTGGACGGGGGATGGTAGCGAGTGAGGAACTTGTCCGCCAGGTTGGCGAACGTGGTGATCGAGCCTGGAGGTCGAGTGTCTAGCCACTCCTTGGCCTGCCCCTCCAAAGTAAATGGGAAGTACCTCAGCTGGATGGCATCGGCTGGGACCCCATTTATCTTGATTCCATCGATGAGCTCGTGGAATCGCCTCAGATGTGATCGGGGGCACTCCCCCTCTTTGCCACGGAATACTACTGAGCCGTGCAACATAGTGAAGACCGAGGTGCTAACCTCGAAGTTGTTGGCTGGGACTTGAGGGTGCTGAATGGGCGACCTCATGTCCGCGGCTCTGGCGGTCCAGTAGTACCCCATGGTTTGCTCCTCGGGAAAGTCCACCTCATGGTTCTGTGGATCCCCATCTCTTCTTCGTCGGCGATTTGCAGATGTGCTAGCGCCTCCTTCGCAGCCACTCGCGCCTTTAGAGCCCGCTTGAAGTTCCTACAGGTCCGTTCAATCTCCTGGTATAATGGTAGTAATTCTCCCGACTGGCTACGGGTCATGCACTACCTGCACACAATAAGCAAAAGCAACCCGTGAAGGCACACAGGTGGAAGAGAGAAAAATGCAGTAAAGAAAAAGCTAGAGTAACAAACTTTCACGTTTCTCCAATAACCTAGAGGTTCCCCGGTAACGGCGCCAAAAACTTGACAGGCTAAAACACAACACCAAACTGCGACCAAGTGTAATCGCAGTCCGGAAATGCAGTAACAGGCAAGTTCTAATGTCAACCCGGGGTCTAGATCTACTGCCTACTCCGTGAATATCTATTATCTAGCCAACTAATTCATATTGTTGATTTAAGTAAAAGCAGTAAGAAAGTAGGAAATGGTTCGGTTTTTCAAAGCAAAGGAAGAGTCACTTGGGAATGAATCCCCCTAGCTCCTTAGTTAGGTTCCAGTTGTAATTACTTTTGGTTGCTTTACTGCTAATTATACTGCGGAAGATCCGACAGTAGCTTGGAATCTCTTAAGCTGACCAAGCCCTCTCAGTCCAACTACCCGGCAGACGGCTAGTCTTCACCAGGATAGAAAGCCGAGGCTATGAACACAAAACTCCACTACTGGAATTAGATTCCAGTACAAAGCAGTGAATCGACTAACTCTCGTATAATCGATTCACTACTACCAATTGAAGAAGCTCTAACAACCTAATCAGATTCTATCTATCTCGGGTTGCAGCAGAAATCAATAAAAGGTGATCAGACTTCAATTGACTCATTCAAAACACTTCAATCGATTATAATCAAGCAATATCACAATCCAAACGTAATTACAATCAAGATTCCTAACACATGGAACTAGGGTTCTTCATACCCAAGTGAGAGAGAGTTCTACTCCATAGAGAGAGGGGAAAACAGAATACAAAGCAGTCATACTCATAACAATGGGAAGAATCTGCTCTGGGATGATGATTTTCACTCCTATGATGATCTCCAAGCTCGATATGATGAAACCCAGCTCCAAGATCGCTTCTAGGATGTGTTCTTCGCACTTTCTCTCTCTAGGGCTCTGTTTTTGCTCCAAAAAGTCGACCTCCTCACTTGTGGCTCGAAATTGCCTCAAAAACCCGATTCTGGGCGAATTCTGGGCTGAATTACGGTCGTAATCATGGTCTGCTCGTAAATCGCCCAAAATGCGCGTTTTACTTAGCTCCGAGGAAGGGAATTACGGTCGTAATTTCCCAATTACCGCTAGTAATTACTGAATTACGACCGTAATTAAAGTGACTCTTGCCCGTAATTGACTCTGCGACAGGAATTTTGGGAAATTAGGCTCGACATTGCGTTTACGGGCAATATAGGACCAATTACGACCGTAATTAGTCAGGGTCTGCCCGTAATTTCCATCTTGAACCGCCAACTGACCTCCAAATGACCCGAAACTTGCTCCCATCCACCTTTTTTCTTGCTAGGACCTGAAATACGACAAAACAACACAACCTAGCGTAAAATAGGCCAATGAACAACAAATTCGAGCTAAAATGGTCAGGGAACAAGAGTGAAAACATGTGCAAATACGACGCTATCATAAGGGATGTCATGAGGTAGGTTAAATGAGTGGACCATAATGAATGGAGAACGTGGTGATTAATCCACCAAGAAAAAACGAAAAATATCTCATTTGCACTCTCTTTTCGGCCGTCTCTTCAAGCTCTCTGTTTCCCTCAGTAAGTCCCACTACCCCTCTTTACCTTTTCTCACTAGTGTCACGTCAAATCAGGAGCCTAATGATGAAAGTAGAGCTGGCTATTTGGTCTGGGGTTTTTTGTTTTTACCCAAAACCAGACCGTATAACCCGGACTGAGACCGGATCAGGACCGGATAGTAAACAATCCAATCCAATCTTTGGGCTTAGATTTGAGGTAAAAAACCGTTCGGGACCGGATTGAAAACTGGATAAAGACCGAATAAGAGAGCTCAACACCCAAAACTTAAGGGTAATTTGCATAAACGGTCACAAACCTTTGCATTTAGTACAAAACTTAACCAACTCCTCACCCTTTCAGGCCTTAGGCCACTCAAATCCCGACAAACTCAATATAAAATCAAGACCGAGTTGGGACTGGACCGGGTCAAGACCGGACCGGATCAAGACCTGACTGTATCCAATCCAATCTTTGGTCCTTATATTTTTCAAAAAGACCGGACTGGACCGGATCAATTTGGGTCAATTTAACCGGACCGGACCGTATAGCCACCCCTCGATGAAAGCAGTAGATAAAGAAGGTTGCCTCTCCAATCTCTGCAACTACTCGCTAAGAGACGCATAACTCGAGGCGGAAACATCCCCCGTGTGATCTACACGCGTGAGGGCCAAGAAGAGGTCACCCAACCAGAAGGTAAACCAACGTAAAAAATGCAACGAAACTGGATAAATCCTATCCTGGACAAAAGAGCCCTCACCTTCGGCCGCCCACACCCGAGTACCGTCCGAGTTGAAACAGTACCGCTGGGTCACGATGGACAGTAACATGAGTCTGCGTGCACAGTAAATGCCCCCTTAGTGGGTTTTCTTTTTTCAAAAAATTTGCGCTTAATATTTAGTTAAAACTGCAACTGTACTATCGTTTTTTGTTTTTATTTATCAATTATTATACACATTTTTGTTTAACTGGTACAAACCGATATTGATAATGGTTATATCCGGATCGGACCATTTCACTTAGGAAACCGACGCACCGGCAAACCGGTGGTTTGACAACTTTGCTTATTTGCCAAAGTAAGGGCCCACCAGAGTAGAGGGCAGGGGCTCGGAGGAAAACCTAACATATCAGAATTAGGAGAAGCGTCGAAGAACCCTGGAAATCTCCTCCGCCAATTCTCCCTCCGTCCCTTCCTCTTTCTTCCCTTTCCCATTATCTATGCACCGCTCCGGTGAGCGGCATCTTTCCAGGGAGGGTCCGATTGTTAAATGCTCTCTCTGCTCAAGCCAATTGGCGTCTTTTCTGACCATTACATGTCTTCAATCGACGCCGCTTCTCTCTTCACTGCCTTATATTTCCATCACCAGCCGAGCTGCTCCCCTCAAACCCTAGGCCTCCATTACTCTCCTCTTGTTATCATACAGTTCGCCATCGTCGTCTTTACTCGTCTTGCTTTTGTCTTTCAAAGAAAAAGGTTCCAGTGTCTTCTGCTATATTCATCACTTGAGACCGTGCGGTTGTAGCTTGGGATTTTCTACAACATGAGTAATCCGAAAGTAAGCTTTTTTTCCCCTCTTCCTTTTTGTCGTTGATATTCATCTTGGTGCTGGGGTGTTGGATGGTTGCTTTCCTAGTGTTTAATGAAGAATCCAGCTTTCTTATGTTTGACTGTGTAGTTATTGTGTTCGATTCAGTCTGGGAGAGTGAAGATTCCAGCTTCCTTGTTGCTCTCTGCTAATCCACGCGTTGTTTCTTTCACTAATAATTCTTCCACAAAGCTTAGAAGCACAACGGTCCTTTCCTCTATGGGCTTACATGTTGTCTATGTTCATTTTTCTCTGTGACTGAGGTCATAATTGCAGCATCATGAGTAGCGCATTATTTCTTACTGTCCTCATATGCAGGGGGTGTCCCAGAAGGTGTTGCTGTTCTGATGGGGGATTTGATTGAAAAAATTGTTCAAATAAAGTTGAAATATCATTAATTCTGCATTTTATGTTATCCATTCTTAGAAGAGGTTCTTAAATTAATTTTGTGAAGTGGAACCACAATTTGCTTTTCCCTGGTTATGTATCTGTGATCTGTGATATGGTTTTATTCAGACTCATTGTGATATATAGATCAAACAATTTAGATCCTTAGCAGGTGTCTAGTGTATTTCCCTTAAAAACAGTGCCTAGAGCTTGGACCTAATCCTTCCTTTAGAATAATTTGCTCCCACTATATCTCTTTTATTTTCTTATTGCAGAGACCTTTTTGGTCTTCACTTAAGAATGCAATTGTTTTTTTCTTTTTGCTTTCTCCAATCTGCAGTTACTAGTATTTGGTTCATTCACTGAAGATGAAACCAAATCATGGATGCAACAGAAGTCAGCTGCAAAAGCTCAGAAGCATGTGGGAAAGAAAGACTCACAGTTTCAATTATCGAAGCCTGCAAGTGGAATAACTTTTGGTGACTTTAGCTGTGAATTGAATAGGGAAGAGGGATACGTTACGGGAAATGTGGGTCTTCGAAGCGGAAAGTCAGTTGACAACAAAGATTTCAGGACCTTGAATGAAACACATGAAACACCTGGTCATGCTCATCCACAAGAAAATGGAAGAATTGATGCTTCTACCAACGAACAATTTCTCAGTCATGGTGTGAAGGACTTGGCGATCAAAAGTGTTAGTTTGATTTCCTCACCTGCATCTCAGCATGAAAATGGGGCTGTAACTTCTCCTAGGAATTCAAAATTTCATGTTCTTGATGATGAAACTGTCATGGATATGCACCTGCATGCAACTGTAGACTATTCAGTGCTACATGTGAAAAAGGAGAATGGACAGAATCCAACCAATGGATCTATTGCATCAGTCAGAAATTTGCTACCACATGGTTTAGTAAATTCAGGGAACTTATGCTTCCTCAATGCTACACTACAGGCACTCTTATCTTGTTCTCCTTTTACTCAATTATTGCAGGAGCTTAGAATCCGTGATATTGCTAAGGTTTGTTTCTAGTACCTTCTTTCTTGAAGTGTAGTACTTCTTTCCTCTATCTTGTTCTTATAATAAGGTTGAATGTGATTAAAATTCGAAAGCATTATTATTAGTAGTAGTTAAAGCACAAAGCTATAAAGAGGATATGATTCAATAGAAGATTGTTTTAGAAGACGATTGTAGTACTTCTTACCTCTTACCTTTCCTTTATTGTTTTGAAAGAAGATTTTTATTGAGAAGATTGGCGTTCTCACCATATCTCGGTTCTTGTTTGTGTGGTCGCTAGGTTGGCTTTCCTACATTAACTGCATTAACGGAGCTAATTTCCAAATTTGATATGCCAAGCAATACAAATGACAAAAAGTCTGTTCTTGAGACTGGTAGACCCTTTCGCCCAGCAATGTTTGAAACCGTGCTTAAACATTTCACTCCAGATGTTCCAAGCAGCATATCAGGGAGGCCAAGGTAGGCATGTGGATCACAGTAGTTGTTGTCTATTCTGTTGGACTCATATTAAACTTGTATCCCATATCACAACTGCTTTCAGGCAGGAAGATGCTCAGGAGTTTCTGAGTTTCATCTTGGATCAAATACATGTTGAATTGCTTAAGCTTGACGGTCAAGCTTCTGGCATTAGTGGTGTCAGTTCTTCTCTGGTGACTTCTACAGAAGATGATGAATGGGAGACAGTTGGACCAAAGAACAAATCTGCAGTGACTAGGACTCAGAGCTTCCCTCATTCTGCATTAAGTGATATATTTGGCGGACAATTAAGAAGTGTGGTGAAGGCTGAAGGTTTTGATTTTTTGACATGAGCCTTTGTTCTTCGATTATGTTGGGAAGAAAGAATCCTTTGCCACGACTCATCCTCAGCTGGTTATTGTTCGTTTTGCTGCAGAGGTTTCATTTCCTTAACCCAATTTGACTCTTTGTTTCGTCTTGTCCAGGTAACAAAGCCTCTGCTACTGTTGATCCATTCCTGCTGCTCCACCTTGATATTTGTTCTGATGCTATTGGCACCATAGAGGATGCACTTCGTTTATTCTGTGCACCTGAGAATCTGGAAGGATACAGAGCGTCAACTACTGGAAAGGTTCCATTTCTTTTTCGATTGCTCTTCTTTATGCTTCAAGTTTCTTCCGACTGCTCATTTTTTAGAATGCAAATACTTGCAAGCTCTTTGTTTGTGAGAAGGTTATAGTTTTTAGGAAACTTTGTGCTCAATCTATGAAGTTATCATATTGGAAAGTTGGAATTTCTTGAGTTCGCATATACGAAGTTTGGATAGTCTTGCAAGTGATAATCAAGGTGTGAAGAATGTTGGACACTAGCATGCAAATTATTTATCTTGCTATTATCTTAAAGAAGATTAGTACTACGCCTTCTGTTACCTCACAATGCTAAGTTTGTTTACAGGCTGGGGTAGTGGCTGCCAGAAAGTCGTCGCAGATACAGACCCTTCCAAAGATAATGATATTGCATGTCAAGCGTTTCAGTTTTGGAACCAAAGGGAGCACAAAGCTGCACAAGCCTGTACACTTCCCTCTGGAATTGGTGCTGGGTCGAGAACTAATTTTTTCACCATCTTCTGAGGTAACACGTTGGCTTTATTCAGATTTTAGTGTTTCAAATGCTGAGTTGCTTCTGTCCTTGAGAAGCTGTTCCTTGTTTTTCATTTGGTTGTGATCAGGCATTATACTAGCTGGTATTCTTCACTGGTGCTTATGAATTTTCTGTTTTGCATGTTCTCTTTCTAGAGCCGAAAATACGAGCTTGTGGCTACAGTAACTCATCATGGGAGGGAGCCCTCAAAGGGTCATTACACTGCTGATGCCCGGTATCCAAACGGACAGTGGCTTCGATTTGACGATGCATCTGTCACTGCAATTGGGCTGAACAAGGTGTTGCATGACCAGGCATATGTTCTCTTCTACAAGCAAGCATAGAGTCAGTTGGTGATAGAAGAATTCTGTGGTATTCTCCTACTCGCACATTCAGAGAAGTCACAAATCAAGATACTCAAACTACTCCTCAAACAAACTGGTAACCACTAGAGAAAGCTATCTGTGTCAAAATGGCAATACAGATGGAGCAACGAGACCTGCAGATTCTGCTTTTTGCTGCCAGGATTCTACTGTTATACTTTGTGTTGAGCTGTGTAAGTAATGCGAGATGTACACTTAGGGAAACAGACGACGTATGAGAAGGTTAATTATTGGTTTCACATGTAATCTGAAGGTAAGTGACTATAAAGGGTATCCACGGCCAGGAGACTGACCGCTGGACCGCTTACAGACTGCACAGTTTAAGTTCTTTCGGGCAAACTTTTCAAAAAATAATATAACAGCGTTCAGTCTTTATTCAGTCAAATGTTGTTGATTTAGATGGGATGAATGATATGGTTACCATGTTATTACTAACTAAGGGTAAATTTTATTAATCATGGAATACAATATCATAATCAAAGTGTTCAAATTAATACAACTACTAAATTAACCAAACTAAAGTTTAATCGGTTTGGTTAATTGGTTAACCAGATTAACCAATATAAAATTATATTATCAGTTAAGTGAGAAAATTTTCGATTAATTTATCAATTCACAATTTATATAATTAATAAAACATAACAATCAACACATAGTTATAGCCCTTAACATAAATACATGCAACTAAGACAATTATCTTACGGTTAGTATAGAAGTATTCACTTAACAAAAATTTATCACAATGGTATGAGTTAATGAATTGTTGTGTTTGTTTGAATTGACTTAGTTTTTTAGCAATTTTCATAGGCTGAAAAGGACCTTGCTTTCAAGTTTTCATCCAACATAATGTATGGGATTTCTCTAAATTAAGCGTTTATATGTTGTGGTCTACACTCTACATATACAAATATACATTATAGGAACAATATCAAGCTTTATATTTTACGAGTCTAAAAGGATGAACGTTTTAACTCTTGAGTGGTTATTCAAAGTATTAAGTATGCGTATATATTAGATATATGGCTAATTATTTATTTGGTTAATTATTTATTCAAACCACCTAAACCAAACAAACTAAAAACTTTAACCAAACCAACCTAATTATCCAAATTAACCAAACTAAATTATCCAAATAGTACTTGTTAAAACGGTTACCATGGTAACCACACCGTTTGAACATCCCTAATACTAACTTGTATTCGTTTTGACAATTCAGCAAAATATTTAGCTAAACTTATTGGGGTCAATGCAAAGATTGTTCACTGGGTTTACTAAAATGTTACATGTTTAGTTACTGAAAAAATTAATATTAATTTTTGTCATTCAAATTAGTAAAACGGTCGATGTTTAGGCACTATTAGTTAGTCTTCGTTAAACCGTCAGTTAAGTGCTGACATGGCTAACAGAAGTGTTGACTCACCGAATTTTAACCTGTCACATCATCAAACTCGACCTGCCACGTCACTCAACCAGCCACCTCAATTTCCCCTTCAATTATCTTACTATTGCCGGTGATTTCTTCTTCCTTCCTTGAGGTGTACCCTAAGTCCCTAACATTACTCCAACAAACCATTCCGGACTGAGACGAAGAGGGCAAAAGCAGAGGAAAAAAAGGACCTCACAGGTCAAAAATTGAAAATCAAGCCTAGTAGAGCTAACGACAACAACGTCGTAGCAAGAACATAATGGTAGTTGGCTGGAAAGGGGGCGGAAAAACCTGCCGGGTTCGACTATATATAGGAGTTTTAGGAATAGTAACTTGTATTATTATGAAACCACAAAGGGGTTTATATAGATCACAAGACTTGGACAATAAGTAAGAGAACCACAATACTAGAAGGACACGGCAATACTAAGAACTATACTATAAGGACACGGAAATATAAGATTATTCCTAATCTATCTCTAACACGCCCCGCAAGATGATGGTGCGAAGAACAACATCAATCTTGACCAACATACGCAAATCTTGAAGAACACGCCCCCGCAATTTGATGGTGTAGAATGTGATGCAAACTCATCGAACTCTTGTGCTTGAAGAGCGAAGCCAACTAATCTTCGTCTTGGAGAAGAAGAAATCATCAAACTTGCAATTCATATTTTGCAACGAAACTCACTCGCCGTCAAAAGTTGACCAGAACGAGATGAATGAATTGGTGTTCACGATACCAATAAACGTAAACTGGTGTAGGATACGAGGCATTCATCCGAATGACCGTTGTCGGAGAATCTTTCTTCGTTCCATACACGTGAAGAAGAGATGGCTGGAGGATGACCGTGGCTCCGCCATATAATTCTGCAACAATATGAAAATAAGATAAGAACGATAACATCGGCTATAAAAACCGGATCTTGATCTCCAAGGACAATGCGACAGTGGTCAATCGTCAGAGCACAAAACAACTACCAGAATCTGCAACAAAAAATAACAAAGATTACATGGAATAAAGGAATGCTTTTTTTTTTTTTTGACTTCAATCAAGCACTACTGGCAAAAATTGGATGGCGGATCCTCAATGATCCATCCTCCCTGCTGGCTCAAGTGTACAAGGGTAAGTATTTCCCCAAAGGGGATTTTTTACGGACCACAGCAAGATCCCGCCCGTCGTGGGGCTGGCAAAGCATTCTCTTTGGTCGGCAGTTGTTAGTAAAAGGCCTTCGGTGGCAAATTGGGAATGGGCTAACCGCCCCGCTGTTGGAGAATAATTGGATCCCCCGTTTACACCCGGATACCCCAGTTGCTAACCCGCGTGTTATGCCGAGTGAGGGTACCCCGGTGGTGGGTGAGTTACTTGACTCAGGCGAAGGGCGTTGGTGTGAGGAGAGGCTAAGTCAATGGTTTGATCCGCCTACTTGTCGAGCGATCAAGGAGATCCCGCTTCCTCGAAGGAATATTGAGGACCGACTGATCTGGCATATGACGACTGATGGGGTTTTCACGGTGAAATCAGCGTATCACTTGGCTGTTCTCCTGGATAAAAAGGAAGGCCAGTGGCGGTCAATGGCCAGTTGGATGGATAGATCGAGTTGGATTAAGGTTTGGAATGCCCCTATTCCCCCCAAGTTGCGCATCTTTCTCTGGCAACTTCTCAACCGGCTCCTCCCTACGGCGGAAGCTCTTATTGAGAAGGGTGTTCTTGTCCATCCGCGATGCCCGGTTTGTTGGGCAGAATCGGAGACTATGGAGCATCTGTTCCTTGACTGTCCAGTGGTCCGGGCTATGTGGGATTATGCGGGGTTGGAGTACCTTGGTCAAGCCCTTCCTAGGCAGACGTTTCCTTTGTTCCTAAAGCGATTGATGTCGTGTATTCATCATCCTCACCTGCTGATGGCAGTGGTTGCTGTTCTTTGGCGGATCTGGCGATCTCGTAATTGGGGTGTTTTTGAGGGCAAGCAATTTGGGATCCCAGCTCTTTTGCGTTAATTTAATCAGCAGGTTCAGGAGTGGATAGAGTTGCCGGGGGATTCTGGTCTTCCTCGTACCCCTACTAGCTCTAGTTTGCCGCTAGGTGAGGCCAATCCTGGGTCGGTCACTTGTAGGTGGGATGGTGCTACCAGGTCTGGCTCTCATTCGGCAGGGGGGATGGTTATTCTGTTGTCTGCCGGGTGGGTGGTAGGGGCGAGGGGTGTCCAGTTTGGTGGCATTGATGACCCCTTGGTTGCTGAGATGCTCACGCTCCGTGAGGCGATTCATTGGTGTTCTGCAGCGGGATTGACGGAGGTACGGTTCGAAGGGGATGCTCAGGTGATAATTAAGAAGCTCTCCAGGGCTGAGGTCTGCGACAGCCGGATTGGCGCTCTTCTCGAGGAAGTGCTGCAATGCTTATCTAACCAGCAAGGGTTTAGTGTTCGATTTGTAGGTCAGAGTAATAATAGGGTAGCCCACTTGGTGGCTCGCAAGGCCCTTCTTTTGTACCCGTCTACAAGTCGGTTCTTTGATTTTGTAACCTGGCTCCATTCCAGGATGTAATTGCCTCTTTTCTGATCAATATATGATTATCTTTTGTAAAAAAAAAAAAAGGAATGCTTTTTGGACAGTGGAAATTGAAGCTTGAATCGTTATGCTGGGGATGAGAGGCGTAGAGGAAGATTTGGGAAAGGGGATTTTATTTATTAATTTTATTTGGTTGAATGAAACGAAGACCTAGCAAAATAAAGTAGAACGGAAGAATAATAATATGAATAGGGATGCAGTGGGTTAAGCTGCGGTTGGAAGAGGACCGGGTGAGTGAGGGCTCATCCTGTCGACGAAAAAAAACAAGGTTTTAGGGTTCCTGGATCAACGCTGTTAAGCAATAAGCTCTGATACCATATAGGAGTTTTAGGAATAGTAACTTGTATTATTATGAAACCATAAAGGGGTTTATATAGATCACAAGACTTGAACAATAAGTAAGAGAACCACAATACTAGAAGGACACGGTATTACTAAGAACTATACAATAAGGACAAGGAAATATAGGATTATTCCTAACAAACCATTCCAGACTGAGACGAAGAGGGCAAAAGCAGAGGAAAAAAAGGACCTCACAGGTCAAAAAATGAAAATCAAGCCTAGTAGAGCTAACGACAATAACGTCGTAGCAAGAACATAATGGTCGTTGGCTGGAAAGGGGGCGGAAAAACCTGTCGGGTTCGACTATATTTCTGGGCTCAAACGAATTTATTTGATTGTTGCTGCACTGGACCCACAACTCAATCTTCAATTTGCTTCTCCCCTCCAAATCTCTTTCAATTGCGAAGTTCGCAGTGGCTTTCAATCTCAATCAAAACCAACAAACAAAAATAATCTTGTTCCTCATCAAGATTTGGACCAAATTGGGAGGCAGTGTGGCGGTGAAATTACCAATTATCTCGACGTTATCGATGGTATCGAGAAAGCTGTGATTTTTTAGGGAACCCATGTTGGGGTGCTCACTAGAGAGATTGTTGGATTGGAGTTCGAGCCTTTTCAGCGCTATCAGGGCGTTGAGATTGGGAGGGATTGCTCCCTGGAGGCTGTTGTGATCGAGGTAGAGCTCTTCGAGGGATTGCTAACCAAAGGGTCAATTTCCCTTGAGAAATTTAGTTTAGCTACCATTATTTAGACGATTATTATGTTTGTGTGGATAGTAGAAGCAAGAACAATTATTATGTGTTTGCTATTTTTATTTGTGTGGATTGTTGAAACTAGAAGAGTTACAAGTATTGAGAATTTTAATGGACAACAGTATGTATGTGCATATAAGTGTATAAGTTCATAGTTTAGGATTCGTACCCATGGTTACCCGAATACCCGTGGTTACCCGGTGGATAGGGTATGGTCATATAATTTTCATACCCGGTGGTTATTTGGTCGGGTATTTTAGAAGGCTCTACCCGGCGGGTTAGGAGTTGGTATAGGGT